CCAGACCGAATCACCTAAAGCCTTAGCCAGACTGAGAACAAAAAGCCTCAACTAGACTGAGTATGAAAAGCTCGGTCAGACCGAGTCACTTAAAGCCTCAGCCAGACTGAGCACAAAAAACCTCAGCCAGACTGAGCATGCAGAGCCCCGCCAGACTGAATTACTTCAAGCCCCAGCCAGGCCGAAGCCACCATTGCGACTTCATGATCACAAGCACAATGGCCATATTTTCTCACATTCACTCTGCATTGAATTTTTCTTACAAGTAAAAATTCACTCTGCATTGAGTTTTTCTCACATTCACTCCGCATTGAATTTTTCTTACAGGCTAAAATTCACTCTGCATTGAGTTTCTCTCAAATTCACTCTACATTGAGTTTTTCTCACATTCACTCTGCATTGAATTTTTCTTACAAATAAAAATTCCCTATGCATTGAGTTTTTCTCACACTCACTCCGCATTGAATTTTTCTTACAGGTTAAAATTCACTCTGCATTGAGTTTCTCTCAAATTCACTCTGCATTCAGTTTTTCTCACATTCACTCTTCATTGAATTTTTCTTACAAGTAAAAATTCCTTCTGCATTGAGTTTTTCTTACACTCACTCTGCATTGAATTTTTCTTACAAGTTAAACTTCACTTTACATTGAGTTTTCCTTACATTTTACACTTCACAATAATTTATATATAAGCCTTATACAAGTCGCCATTCTCATTCATTTCAGATGCGCAAACAAAAGTAATAGCATGAAAACAAGACTCAAATTTTATTTATTCACAAACTTGTACATAAGTTTCTTACAGTCATTCAAAAAAAAAAAACACAAAACAAACTTTAAGTACAGGTTCTGTTCGCACCAATCACTCTTCCTCACTTGAAAGAAGGTCTTCTTCTTCAATGCCCTCATCTAGAGGGGTCTGGGCCACTTCGTCTTCATCAATCCTTACACTGCTAAGGTCCAAGCCTGGGAACAGTTCTTCTGCCTTCTACTTGAACATCTTCCAGCCACTGTCCCAGAACTCAGCCATTTCGTGTTTGTAGAAGTCCGACCGCTGGAAGCTCTTAATAACTTCTGCTTCAGTCCTACCCCCAGCGGTCGCTCCCGACGGGCCTGCCCCCCAAACACCTCTCTTGCCAAGTTGCTGGCGACACGACTGCGGTATCGACTGCCATCTGAAATTCAGCAGACCCCTTCAATTGCTCTACTGCTGCAACGCACAGATCGGGGTATACTGCTCTTTCAGAGGCTGCCTTGGTTTTTTCATCCTCTAGATCCTTCTACAACCTTGCTCTCTCCTCCATCGCCCTACTACACTCATCCTCCAGCTCCTTCTGCAGCTCAGCAATCTTCACGTCCGCTTCATCCTTCTCTTTGATTTGCTGGGCACGCAATTCTTCATTGTTGATCATCGCCTCTTCAAACCGCTCGGTGGCGACCGTGCAGGCATTTTGGGCATCCCCCAGCTTCTTCTGCTCGCCATCCAGCTGGAACTCGAGCGACACTACCTTGCGGCATTCGTCCTCTAGCTCCAACCTGACTGCCAGCAGCTCAGCTTGGGCACGGTCGGCAACATTGCCCCGCACGATCGCCAATACTTCCATCTTTTTTGCCTTCTCAGCCTCCTACCAGCCCCTAGCACATGCGCTTCGCATAGCCTTCTTCCAGCTTGCACTCTCCTTCTTGAAACTTGCAAGCTGGGCCTTAGCCTCCTCCGACTTGACCTTCGCAGCCGCTACCTTTCTCAGCGGAGCCCCTGCTAAGGTGGTTACCTCCATTTGGGCAGAGCACAACCCCCTTCGCAGCTCAACCTCATTAAACCTGGAAACCAAGCGCACGGCTGCCTCATTCACACTCCACACAAGGTGATCTGCAGCTGCCCTGGCGGGGCCTTCTTCTCCCTCCAACCGCCCAAACACGGTGCGAGCGTGGTAGATTGCAGTCGTCAGCTTGGCCCCTTCTCCTTGGGGCGCAGGGCCCCCCTTGGGTTGTTGCTCCATCACTTTCTTAGGGTCAGCCGACCCACTTTCTAGTTGCACCTTGGGGTTTAGGGCACTCGTATGCCCTTCTTCCTCTAAGACCCCTTGGCTCTTCTCCCCCTGTGCCTCTGGGACGACGACGACCACTTCTGGAGTAGCCTCCACCCTTTTCTCCCCTATTTCCTCTGCCATCTGTGTGCCCTCACCGCCCACCCTCGCCCTTTTCGACCCAGGCGCATCTGAGGCCCCCTCAGGGCAACCCTTCTCTTCTTCTTCTTCTTCTTCTTCAAGACCTCCCCTCCTTGTTTTCCCTTTTCTTCACTGGATCAACGGGGGGCGGTCGTGGCTCGAAACTGCCCAAGTCTTTTCCCCCCAGCGGCTTGGGGTGCGGTCGGATTCCTTCCCTCGCGACCGGTTTTGGTGGCGAGCCTAACTGCACTTCCTTGAACTTATTGGCTTTGGCAAAAATGGCCCGGTCCTCCGCCTCTTGCGCTTTCCTCTTCGCCTCAAGCTCTGCAGGTGCCAGATCACCACCGGTCGGTTGAGGGCCCAATCCTGCGGCAAACAAAGCTGATGGCTGAACAAGGTTGTCCCATCTGACCCCCTCCTTCTCCCTCCATGCCTTCACGTTTTTCACCCTCTCCTCCGCTGCAGCCCCCAGCTTTGGCTCCATATACTTGGTGGATACCCTCCACACCGTGCGTACTCCAACTCCGCCATTCGTAGATACGTAAAACCACTGCGGCCTCCATCCTTTAATTAATGACGGCAACCCTGCCACCAAACCCCTTCCTGCCGCCGCCTATAAAGTGACCTAAGTTTCTTGCTGGCCTGAGGCCTTATAACAGGCAAAAAAGTCGTCTACCGTTATGGCCGCTCCCTCATTCGCTTTCGGCCACGCACTTGCACAGGCTAGTACAATCTTCCATGCGCTGGGCATTAGTTGGCCTGGCACGACTTCCAACCGGTTGAGGACATCCACTACCACCTGTGGAAGGGGCAACCTCAACCCTCCATTAAACGCCTCTTCGTATAGGGCAAACTCCCCCGGCCGAGCGTCGGAAGGCCTCTCTGTTGCGTCGGTAACATTAACTCTATTTCTTCAGGCACCTGATACTTTTTCCGCATACCCTCCAACTCCTCCGCCGTAACAGTTGACTTGTCGGCCTTCGTATGCCAGTGATCTGGCTTAGCCTAGTTGATTGGCTTCGGAGCCGCCATCAATGTCAATGAACGCGGTGCTCCCGCCGGCTCCCCTACTCTCTCCACTTGCCTCTCCGTCCTGTACTGCTCCGCCAACTCCACGGCATCATCGTCTCCTAGTGGATCAACCCTGGCAGTTCTAGCTTTTTCTTGGGCCATTTTTGTCGTGTGTCTGCGAATGGCTTTGGATGCGAGTGCGAGAAAGTTCAAAAAATGTCGCAAGGGTGTATCACTTGCAACGAAGGAGTCTACACTTGGAATGTTTTGATTTTTCCAAAAAAGGTAGGTAAAACGTATAATCCCAAAAGCCCAAGGCTTGCCTGTATTCCAGGGGTCACAATTAATTGCCGCCAGTTTGAAAATTTTTCAACCATCCGCCAAAATTGTCTTTTCAACACCCATTATGACCTATCATTTCACCTCTGGCCCAACGCCTAACCTCCCCCACCACGAGATGATGCCACGTGTACGACCATGCTTCACTGCACCCTTCCCCTATCCTGTCTTTTCCACTTCAAGTCACCACGTGACCCGCCACCTCTCGAGCCCCGCCCCTGTCACTTTTCCCTTTACAGTCGGCCCTCCGCGTGGTCGGTCACTCCACTCGGCTACCCTTCGCAGTCGGCCCTCCTCATGGTCGGTCACTCCACTCGACTACCCTTCGCGGTCGGCCCTCCTTGTGGTCGGTCCCTCCACTCGGCTACCCTTCGCCATCGGCTCTTCTCGTGGTCGGTTCCTCCACTCGGCTACCCATCACGGTCGGCCCTCCTCGTGGTTGGTCACTCCACTCGGCTACCCTTCGCGGTCGGCCCTCCTCATGGTCGGCCCCTCCACTCGGCTACCCTTCACCATCGGCTCTCCTCATGGTCGGTCCCTTCACTCGGCGACCCCCCGCGGTCGGCTCTCCTCCTGATCGGCCCCTACGCTCGATCACTCCTCTCGGTCAACCCCCCCTCCTGCAGATCCCTAACCACCCTCATTTTCTTCATTATTCCCTTCGTTGGACTAAAGTTGCACTCATGAATAGGGGACTACTGACATGGGTAGGCCCATAAAGGCTACAGCCCACCATGAACAACTCAAGCCCACCACTTAGGGTCTAATACATAACTCAACTGATAAGGCCCAACACCATCTGGAAGTCAACATGACATGAGGGACCAATGATATTCAGACACATGGCAGGTAAAGGGCAAGCCACATAGCAGACAAAGATCTGCAAAGTTATTGCCGCTGCACATCGCTATTAATGCAGCCCCTTACTGCATTTATTACGACAACACCTCTCTGTCGGGACAGCACGCCCTCACCCTGAACAAGGTAAGCTACAGCATAGATTTTTGGCCAAGGTGACAGGTCGAAAGGGACAACGAAATGATTACCAAAGGATATAAACAAACGTTGAAGATAAGAAGAAGGTTATGCTTTCTATCTCTCATTCATCTCTACATTCTACTTCTCTCTCTAACTTGCTTGTCAGAGGGTTCGCTGGGGGACTCCCCGTTCCCCATTGAACTCTTGTGCAAGTTCTCTGGTGGGCTTGGTCATTCGGACATTAGGCTTGAAAAACGTGGATTAGTCCAACCCGTCCTACCATCATAACTGTATCATCAGCTTCAATTAGTAGTTGCACCACATATCCTTGATCTGACCTATGCGACATGGCATAAAAATACTGGAGATTTGATTCTATAACAAGGAAACATCCCCGCAATTATATTGCGAAATATCTTAGTCATCACATCACACCCAAACATGACAAAAATAAATAGAGCAGTTTCAATAGAAATAAAACCGAAATGTTTCGGACACACGTGACTACTCCCTTCTCACAACACTATGCTGGGCACGGTGTGATGTGGGGTTCCATCCTTTACGAGGGCGAAGTAGATTGAGAAATGTTTCACATGACTGTGAGACCTACATGTAAGACATTTGATAGTAATTTTAGTATAATTTTTAAAATTTCTAGCATTGTTCATTATCAATACCTTCAGAAAGCACAAGACTGAGCCAAGTAATGATCTCACAATAGCAAACAATGTAAAGAATCGGCAGTCAACTATTGTCTGCAGAATTGAAAATCATGAATTAATTAGATGACCATCCTATATATTGTTCTTGGGTTTCATTCATTTCTCATGATATAGTGTTGAAAAAAAAATATATATATATATATATATATATTATGTATATCTTGTACCAAGTTAGTAAGTAAAGGAATCTATTTTATTTGCATACATTCATAACTCTAATACAAATGTGCATGTGCTTATGTGTTTATTGAGTACTACTGTACATATATATAATTTTGTTCATTTTAAAAATTAAATAATTAAAAAAAAAATTATTAGAATAAACCTTTAGCAAGCAATGAAGACATCAGAAAAGGGGCACGGGAAACATTATGAGCGCATTTTTTTTTTGGCCGTATCAAAGCTATTAGACACCTTTTTTTCTTTTTTTTTTTTCTATTTTAACGAAAAAAAAGATATTTTAAGGTATCATCATGGTATTTGTAAGTCTAAGTCTTAAGGTAATTGATACTAGTCTGATTTAACCTAATTCATAAGAAGAGACTCACTACCAAAACACTAGAAGAGTTCATGGACTACTCCCAATAAAACTAAATTTTGATCGAAATACAACACGAGAGATCTATGTAAAGCATCACTAAAAATTACTCAATATTTTCACGCCATCCAAAAATGAAACTTTGACCCCCTACTAAAAAAGACCACTATTTTCACCACTAGACCACCACCCCGCTGATTATTAGACACCCCCATGATTTCAAGATTATATTGGCCGACCAATGTCCTTGCTTCTTGAAGCTGACCTCCGTGGATGGTGTGTACTCCACGAGAAAAACATATATAAATAAATAAACAGTAATATTAGATATTATGAAAAGTCTTTCATGAAAATAATCATGAAAGATTTGTAATCTTTAGATTATACTAATCAAAATAATTTAAGGGTCACAAATCTTTCATGATTACTTTCATGAAAAAAATTTCATAATTCCTAATATTTCTCATAAATAAATACACGACAAATATCTTGTGACGTGAAATTTGTATAAAAAAATATTTTAAAATATTGTAAAAATTTTTAAAAATAAAATCAATTAAAAATTTTAAATTTAAAATTGTGTCTACTGAAATCATGAACACATGTTACCAAAACAATAATGAAAAATATAATACACCTTTTTGTTTGTGTGTGCTTACACAATAATTCAAGGGTCCCATAGTAAACTTAAATTATTCAATAATTATATATGTGATGAAATAAAATATTCAACAATTGAAGATATTGGGGTGGGATTTGGCAATTATTTTTTAACAGTTTATTTGTTTTTCGTTTTTGGTGAATTTTTAGATTCTACTAGACAGATAGATCTATTTTTTTTATTAAAAAAAAAAAACACTTTCGACAATAAAAATAATAATAAGTTGAGCGTACGTACCCTTTCAATAAACATTTGTGCGTGCAACCTCCATGGCCTTTGTTTGGTAGCCATTTTTAACATCAAAAGAGCCATATTAGCTATCTTTATCACTAGATCTGATGCTAAACCCACTCCTCCAATATTGGTTTGCGGTTCTGAAATAATAACTCGTTCGGTAGTGGTCGCCACTGCCATCACAGCTGCCAACGGTTTCTTCTCACCGACACCACCTCCGCCAAGTCTTTTCTCTTTGTTCTCCCCTCCTTTGCTTCGATTTGTAATTGTCGAAGACAATGTCGGGTTTTTCAAACTACAATACGAGGAAGAAGAAGAAGAAGGAAGATGAAGACCCAAAGGTCTAGAAGTACGAAGCAACCTAGTGGCTACCATTGTTTTTGTTTTGCTTTGTGGGTGTGGCTAGCGTTAGTGTATTATCAGTGTGCAATATCTAACTGTCCAGCTGTCTCACTAATGATAATGATTCTGCTTTCGGTGTTAGTCAGTTAGTATCCTATGTACCATCTCCTCTCTATAAATGAGAGTGTTGTAAAACACTCAATATATCAATATAACATTCATATACACATTCTCTCTCTCTATACATCTATACATTAAATATAACATGGTATCAGAGCAAGGTTAAGAAGCTAGTAACTCTGCTTCACCGGCGGGGGGGGGGCAGCCTCGCCTTGGCCGCCCGCCAGACCTCTACACATGCCTTCACTTCGCTGCCATATTTCTTGCTGTCGTAAACCATCACTCTCACCTTTGACATTAATGAAGGCCACATTTCTTGCTGCCGTGAACCATCACTATTTCTTGCTGCAGCTTTGTTACAGCATAGATCTTACCCACGTCATCGAGCACCCCGTCGGGCCACCGACGCCGTGATCTGGCCAACGCCGACCACGCCACCTGTCACTACTGGTGCAGACGCCGTGACACAAGTTCCTGGTAGCTCACCACCGACGCAGCCGCAGCCGCAGCCGCCTCCTACATCTGCTGCCAATTTGCCGCCGCCGCCGCCGGTGACCTCTTCTACTACCTCTTCAGGTTCGCTCTCGCCTTCTTCAGTGGCCATAATGCCTGTTGTCGGGAGCATTTTGGATTCAGACCTATCACATGATATTTTGTCCTCGTTGAGGCATTAAGCAAAGGGCCGTGAAGGGGTAGGCAAATTGTTTGAAAGGCTGTCTAGCTCTTAATGGTCATTCAAAGGCTGTCAACATTGTACAGTGGTCAACAACACAACCACACCCAGCTTTTCCTTTTTTTATCACCCACCAACCCCACTCAACTTTCTTTTATTTTAATATATATATATATATATATATGTATATGTTTATTATAATATATTACCCAAACCTCCCACTATGTCAACTTTTGCACAAACCCATACCTCTTTTTCTTTTTCATCTGAAGCAACTGAGTCAATCTTCACCTTTTGCACCCCACCCACGTTGCTCCACTTTCTTTATTTTATTTTATTTTTCTTTTTCCATTACAAAAAATCAAAAAAATCAAAAAAAAAACAAAAAACAAATCCATTCACAACCACCTCGTTTTCATTCCACAAACTTGTCCTTTCTTCATTTTTTCATTCCACAAATTTGTCATTTCTTCTTGCCGGGATCAACCCCGATCACCATTTTACACCACAACCGAAAGAAAAAAAACCAAAAAAAAAAACAAAAAACCCTTTTTATCATATTTTTTTTTTTAACATCTCCACTTTGTGTTGAGCTGTTTTGCTCCATTTTATCAATCCCTTTGTTTCAACCTCCAATAGGTTTCTATCTTTAAACATATTTGAGTTTGAGGGGGTATTATATATATATATATATATATATCATGGTGAGCATGGTTACACACCATGCGAACCACCCAAGCTGGTGAGCATGGCTATACACCATGGGAACCACCCAAGCCACCCCATGGCGCACTCCTTAAGTCGCCACCTTGGTACACCACCAAATTCTTCTACATCGGTTCGGCATGACCCCGTAAACTGTCCCAACACTGATTCCAGTTAGCTTCTACAATGGTCTAACATGACCACACAGTGTCTGCTACAACGGTCCGGCATGACCCCGTAAATTGTCCCGACATTGATTTCGGTTAGCTCCTACAACGGTTTGACACGCCCATACAGTGTCTTTACCAACGGTCCGACACGACCATACAGCATCTTCACTAACGTTCTGACACAATCATACAGTGTCTCCTATCCTCTTTTATTTTATTTATCAGTTTATTTTCCTGTTTTATTACTCTCTCTCCAAACTTAAGTTGGTTAGTACCTATCCTCCTTAAGTTTGAGGGGGGCTGTTAGTGTAATATCAGTGTGCAATATCTAACTGTCCAGCTGTCTCACTAATGATAATGATTCTGCTTTCGGTGTTAGTTAGTTAGTATCCTATGTACCATATCCTCTCTATAAATGAGAGTGTTGTAAAACACTCAATATATCAATATAACATTCAGATATACATTCTCTCTCTATACATCTATACATTAAATCTAACAGCTAGATTGTTGGAAGTCGGAGGTTAGGTTTGATTTAGTTTGGTTTGGTGGGTATGGGGGTGGAGAGAGGTATATATATTGGGGTTGTGAAGGAGAGAGAAGATTCGAGGTATATTATATATTAGTAGCTGAAGTTGTCTTTTAAGTGAAGCGTGCTCTTTCGCGGCTGTTTACACTTTCGTGGAAAGTTTGGTTTTGAGTTTCAGCAATATGTATCATAAGTATACAATTAAAAATATATATATATTTCCCACATAAATATCATGTGTATATTTGAGGCTTATTATGTTTATAAAAACGGGTTGGGGTTAAAATAGCTTATTAAAAGATAAAATAAATTAATTTAGTTAATAAAATAAAATATCACATTTAAATTATAATCATTTTATTTTTCCTCTCACAATTATCAAATCAAATACCAAAAAAAAAAAAAAAAACCAAAGGTTTATTCCAAACACAACTTTTTTAGAGCAACTCTAAAGGTGAAAAGCTAAAATCAATAGTTAAACATATAATTTAACAATGAATAGTTGAAAAAAGTTAGAGGATAGCATTGTTACTTCAATGGTAAAATTGTTATTTTTATCTTAATTAACTAACACAAGATTAACATCAACTGGTCGACTGCCCGACCAATCACTCAGACGACTGGTGAGCTTGCAAAATGTTCTTTCGCTATAAGTAAAGCCTATGCTAAATTTGACATAAGATATAGCTGCTACAATTTTTAGTAGCATGAGCTTGCAAAATTTCCATACTTGTTATATTATAACAATAGCAGTTTCAATGTCTTATTGTTAGAGTTGCTTTTAATCAGGTTAAAATAGTTAAAAAGTCAGATTAAAAAGTTTCATTGATTTTGTCACATTTTACATAAATTTACACAACAAATTACATCTTTTACAAATAAAAATTTATTTAAGTTTTTCTTATATAAAATAATGTAATTAAATTAAAGTCATTCATTGAACACAAAACACTCATTTATATTGTTGTTAATTTTAAAAATATTATCGACATATTATTTTGAATAAAAATTATAATTTTTTCTTAAAAATTTATATATGTAAGTCATTTTTTATGCTTTCTTTGCATCAAATATTTTCCAAACATTGTTAAATTTTGAACAGTAGAAACGTTTGAAATGTACGACACACATTTTCTCTCTCATCATGTGTGGCATTTGCTGAGTCCAGATCGTCTGCCGTGGTTTCCTGCTGTGACTCCTGCGGCGGTCCAAAACGACGTCGTTTTGGACCCCTTTTTTTCGGTTCTCTCTCAAACGTTTGAGAACCCAACCTAACAAAGTATTTTCTGTTACAAGATCCTCGAAATGTTGGGTTATGTTTGGATTCAGCTTCAGTTTCACTTTCAGGATCACAAATTGCCGCGAAATTGAATGTAAATTCACATCCAGAAGGTGGATTTTACTCATAATACTTTAGAAATTCTTCCATCATTCTCCACACTTCTCAGCTTCCCTCCCAATGTAAGTCCCTTCCCATTTTCCACATCTTTCGCATTTGATCTGGGTCTCTCTTCAATCGCTTTTGAATCGTAGAGCACCTCACGAACGAATGAACAAAGAGACGAAGTCGCCGCTGACGATCAAACAGCTAGGGGATGGAGATGGCGACAGCGACGGCGATGACGGCAAAGACACCTGAAATCCAAATATAAAAATATGAAAAAAATTGAATCAATTTTCATGGAAAGTAAACAACAAAAATGGAACTTCAATTTTTCAATTATAGAAAAGAAAAGAAAAAAAATTGATCCTGGGTTTGGTTAGTTTCAGCATTTTTTGGTTCTTGAGGATCATAGAAAATATAAAGAAAGATGGGTTTTTTTGGGTTTGTAGAAAAAATCAAAGAGGAGAGAGAAAAGCAAGAAGGAAGGTAAACGAATTTGTTCCTTGTTCCTTCTTTTTCTCCTTTGATCCTTCTTCTCGGTTGCATCTGGTTTTTTTTTTTTTTTGGTGGGGGAAAGTTTGGCCCCAAACCCAATCCCCTCTTTGATTTCTCCTTTGGTTTGTTCATCTCTATCATTAAGCAACAAAGCCAACACAGCCTCTCTTTCTCCTCTTTGTTTTGTTAGCTTCATAGATTCCTCATTTTCCTGTCTCTCTCTCTCACCTCTCTGTTTTGTTAGGTTTGGTTCTCAAACGTTTGAGAGAGAAAAGAAAAGGGAAAGGAAAGAAGAAAGAAAAAATTTTAAAAAAAAGTCGTTTTGAACCGCGGCGGGAGCTGCGGCAGGAAACTACGGCAGACGATCCGGACTCGTATTTGCTTGCGGTGAGAGCGTGAAGAGGGGGACGTGCGAGACCAATAGAGTTGTGAGCCGCAAACGGGTAAGTCCGTATCTGACCACGGACTTTTATTGGTTTGTGGACTGGGTTTATTTTCCGTCGTTGGCTTGGTCACCTCGCCTCCAAGAATATTAGAATTTTTCCATCGTTGGTTGTCTTGTCCGCAACTTCTATCTGTTATGATCAAATCCAGTTGTCTCGATTTTTCAAAAATAAAAAATTTATAATTGTTTTACCCTTTATTTGTTTGTGGGTAAAAAATATTTTATGAAAAAAGCATTTATTTATGTTTGGTGATTGTGGCAGTGGAAGGAGGGTGGAGGTGGAAACAGTGACATGGTGGTGAGACAACAACAACAGTGATAATGATAATTATAGTGACAGTGACCGTGGTAATACTGATGTGGTGGTGGAAGTGATATTGATAATAATTTAATTCAAAAAATATTTTCTTGACTTTTACAAGTAAAAAATATTTTCTAGACATTTTCTATCAACTATGAAAATATTTTTTGTTAACTTTCATTTTCTATTATATCAAACATCAGAAAAATATTTTTTTATCAAAATAAATGAAGCGTTAATTCATGTCATGAAATTAAAAATATTATTAAAATTTAAAGCACAACTTGCTTTAATAATGTAATAAGATCCCAATAAAAATAAAAAACTACAAAACATTACAA